TAAAACCCTACATATGGTAGATCAGCAGTTTTTGAAATGCTCAGACCAGCCTGTCTAGCACCAACAACCATGCCATGTTCAAAGACACTTAAATCCCTTTTCTTCCCAATGCTGACTATGTCTAAATGCCTCACCTTGTCTAAATGCCTAAATGTATAGCGTTTCTGCCATGTGATTGGCAGATTTGCAATTTGTGTTACCAATCAATTGAACAGGTGTACCTAATAAAGTGGCCGGTGAGTGTATATATACAGTATATTATATATTTGAAAATTGATCAGTCCTGAGGTACTCATTTCTTGAGGCCCTAAAATGTCAGGACAATACAAATACCCTCAAGTGACCCCTTTTTTGGAAAGTAAACAGTCCAAGGGATTTAATAAGAGGCTAAGTTTTTTTGAAGTTGTAATTCTTTTCACAATTTTCTGGAAAAGTAAGAAACTACAATGTAATGACATTTTTTTCACATTGTCATTTTTAAAAAGTTATTTCTCATACACAGCATAGGCATGCTTAAAATTACACGGCCTAGACACATAGAGGGGCCCTAAAATTCAAGGCACACTTTTGGGCTTTCAAGGAGCATCTAATTTCCTGACGAATTATCATATTTCTCAAGTCCCTGAAATGACAGGAAAGAAGAAACACACACAAAATTTACCACATTTTGGAAAGCAAAACATCCACGGGTATTTTTCGAAAGGCATAGTGAGTCTTTTGAAAATGTAATTTCTAGCCACAAGAAATACACATTCTGCGACTTCTCTTGAGTATGGAGATTCCATATCTGTGAGACTTTTTCACAACCTAGGCACATAGAGAGACCCAAAATGCCAACAGCACCTTCAGGCTTTCTAGGGGCATACATTCTATATCTAATTTCCTGACTACCCATCACATTTTTGGAGGCCCTGAAGCACCAGGTGTGTGGGAAACACCCAAAAAATTACACATTTTGGAAAGCAAACAAACCAGGTATCTTCTAAGAAGCATGGTGAGGCTTTTGAAGACTTCATTTTTCATACGTTTTTGAAAATGTGTAGTGAAAATGAATATAAAAATGTATTTTTTTTATGCAAAGTTATCAATAAGATATATTAGAATAAGATAGAATAAGATATTTCTAACACACAGCATAAGCATATTAGAAATATTTAGAATTACACCCCAAAACACATTGTTCTACTCCTCCTTAGAATGGGGTTGAGACTTCTTCACATCCTAGCTGCATAGAAAGGCCCAAGAAATCCAAGGGGCACCTTCAGGCCTTCTAGGTACATAAATTACGCATCTAATTTCCTGACTGCCAATCACATTTTTGGATATTCTGACTGGTGTAGTGGTGATCAGAGACACTGTGACTGGCGGTTCTTGTTCACACGTGAGTTTGGGGCTCAGTTGTGGTTTTACCACCCCCCAACCACTACCCCCTTTAGCTGCTGAGGCAGCGAACAGGGATGTACACATGCCACAGCTGTGATGCTTTGCTTTGCAGCCACAGCAGGAATTATACTCCCTGTCACTTTTGGGCAGCATAGCACCAGCTGATCACAACCCATTATCGTGGGGCGGCACAGTGGCTTAGTGGTTAGCACATCTGCCTTGGAGTAAATGGGTCATGGGTTTGATTCCCGACCATGGCGCCTCCTGCATGGAGTTTACATGTTCTCCCTGTGCTTGCGTGGGTTTCCTCCAGGTGCTCTGGTTTCCTCCTCCCACACTCCAAAGACATGCTGGTAGGTTAATTGGATCCTGTCTAAATTGGCCCTAATATGTGTAAGTTAGGGACCTTAGATTGTACACCCCTTGAGGGGTAGGGACTGATGTGAATGTACAATATATATATGTGTAAAGCGATGTGTAAATTGACAGCGCTATATAAGTACCTTAAATAAATAAATAAATAATTGTGCCCTCCTGCATTCATGAAGCTCCCATCCTGCCAAATTTAGTTTTTTTTCTCTATAAAAAACAAAATATGAGCTCCTATGTGGGATCAGCTTGGACATGTTAAGAGGCTACATGGGCAAGAAAAATGGCAAAAAATTAAGGGCGGTGGATCTCCCCTTGTTCAATAGATAACTTCTAATTTTTTATTGTAAAAAAAAATTGATATTGTTCCTCTCCCTTTAACCAATGGGATATAGACATTAAAAAAGAAACAGGGTTTTTAATTATCTACTCTATCCAACCTAACAAACAGTGGTTTGGCTTCATAGTTTAAGGTGTAATCTCAGACAACTAATACAAACTTTTTTCACTCAGTCTACCTTCATCTAAGTTCTATGTAATCAACAGGACTTTATTTCATAGCACTTCACCTTGCTTTACACTTTAATAAATCACATTCTTTGCCACATAATGAAATAAACTAGAAATGGATTCCCATTTCCCAGTTTGCATCCTATATGTCCTTGAATTCAGTGAACAAAGCAAATGAAGATGGTGTAGAAACGTGCCATGTATGCTTCATTAATTGAGAGACGCAAGGAGCAAGCACCGGCCTGCCAACACACATGAATCAGCCTCAGCAGAGAGTTGCGAATGTCACATCATTCCAGAAATGAGAACACATTTAGGTGTCTGGGACAGTTTCATTTTACAAATCCGCCTTCCAAATTAGATTTTCAGAAGTCCTCCACAGACAGACATCCAATTATGATTAGGGAAAATGTTATCAACAAGAAAACTCCTAGATGGGCAATATGTAATAACTTGTTTCCTTTGCCGGAAATCACAAACCCAAGGTCAATGGTACTGAGCTATCATTTCTGCATTTCATAACCTGGAAGTTTGACATTTATGGCTTTAAGAATATCACTCTGTGTGCTGTTGGATCTTGTCTCTCCTTGATACTTACAATAAACGCAAGGCTAGAAGAGTATTGCATGAAGATTGGTACAGCTCAATAATTATATGGACAGTAACATGTCAATGCACATTTCAATATTTTTTTCTCTGCCCCTTACAATCAGTTTTAGACCACAACACAAGTCAAGGAGGAACAATATTTTTAAGGAAATGCATTGTGTTTTGTACTATATATCTTCTTATCATGTTTAGGACAATTTTTTTTTTATTTCCTTATCCATCTAATTTTTATTATTACATAATACTACTTACATATGCAGCAGCAGGCAACACTCTAATGTTAATGTTCATGCTTACCAGGTTAACCAGTTTATTTAAGAAAAAAAATACTCACGCACTGTATTGTATCTGCAGATGGACAGCACTTTCATCCTAGAACAGGAAGTGTGTTAGGACCAGGGGCGGACTGACCATTTGGAAACTCTGGCACTGCCCGAGGGCCTGGGGTCAGCAGGGGGCCCCATGAGATGCCCCTGGTAACTTTTTCATAGTCTTTTTAGAATTTGGGCAAGGACACAGGGGCCCCATGATCCCCTATTGTCTGGGGGCCCCAAGAGTTGTCAGTCCACCCCTGGTTAGGACCAGAGAAAACATCTCCCTCTCCTCATCTCCATAACATTGGGAAGGATGTTTTGTAGTTTGCAAAAGATAGCTGAGAGGCCTGACAACACTGTTTGAGATTTCAGTTCCATGCACAGGAAGTTACAAGACTTTCTGGCAAGATCAACAAGTATTTTTCAGTATTTAAAAGATAAGATGTGTTATGCATATACAAATATTACATGTATTCTTAATGCATAAATAAAGAATAAGCACATAATAGTACATAAAATTTTGAAATAATACAGAATAGGTGCGCATAAAAAGTTCATATGAAAAGTCCAATCCAAAAAATGCCAACAAGTGAAAAATCGCTCCCTCCTGGTTTCATAGAGTGTCATCACTTGAAGCCATCACCAAAATTGATAATGGGGTATATGCTTTCCACAACCCCCTTACAGCAAGAGTGGTCATAAAGCACTTATACAATCTCCTCAGGTATCAGGGTCACACTGCAAACAGCCTCAGTAATGCACAGGGACACCGCCAGTTGAACATACATAACCAAATTCACAGTATATTGGTCCATGTATGACAAAGAAGAGAAGCCTCTCCATAGTGTAAAATTTTATTTAAAAAAATATATTGTAAAAAAAAATATACTCACAGAGTTAAAAGACATACACATGTAAAATACAAATTACTAAGCCGGCAAAGACATTCACTTCCTAGAACATGTCAGTATGAGGCTCCGTCCGATGCATTTCGTTATCAAAAGACATCTTCTGGGACAACGATTTTTCTGTATTTTCAAAAAAATGTGTTTAACCTGAAAACCCTGAAAATAACAAAGCTAATGAAGCCACCATATCTAGCTACACTTTTGATCTTGGGCTTAGATGTACTCTAACCAAAAAATAGTGTAATTTATTTTTCTTTTATATCTCAAAGCAGAATATTTTTTTTTTTTAAGTTTTAGAGTGTGGAAGGGTTAGATTCTGCCAAGTATTTATCACTGTGTTTCCCCATTGGAGACATTTACCACTTTATTTGAACTGGTTGCCATTGTCACTGAGAAAGAATGTGAGGGGACAGCCAAGATTGTGGAGCAAGAGATAAGGGAAAACCTTTCAATTAGGACACCAGTTCCAAGAACAACTGTCTAGGAGGGGAATTCCCTTTAATTTAAGAGATTCCCTTTAACATCTTTGGGAGATGTTGTTTCTTTGGGACAGGAAGTGAAGGCAAATGTTCCCGACGATACACAAACAGCAAATAAATAAACCAGCAGAGGTTTTAAACCTTTTATGGCTTCTATGAATGGAAGATGGATGTGCATGTTGTTGAATGCCTGTCACAGCTTTGTCACTTCCAATAACCCCCAGCTCTCTGGATGAATATGGCACTGGGAGTTATGGAGGAATCGAAGCAAGAATAATTCTACTAATGGAGGAGGCAGCAGCACAAGAGACATGGCATTAGGCTTTAACTACATAGTCCATAGCAGGGGCGGACTGACAATTTGGACACTCGGGCAGTGCCCGAGGGCCCGGGGTCAGTAGGGGGCCCCATGAGATGCCCCTGGTAACTTTTTCATAGGCTTTTTTGAGTTTGGGCAAGGACACAGGGGCCCCATGATCCCCTATTGCCCAGGGGCCCCATGAGTTGTCAGTCCACCCCTGGTCCATAGTAGACTATTTTATATATCCAGAATAAATCCACAAACTCCACACCAGCAAGACTATCTCCTTATGGAAGCCAAGCAAGGTGAGATAGAAAACACTGGTGGGAATAATTCAGTTGTCAGTGAATAGACCAAATGACAATGTGCCAAAGGCTTGTTTAACTTTAAAAGGGGACCTAGCTGGCAGCCTGTAAAAACATACCTACACTGACCTGTTTTGAGGCCCTACCCTTTGATTTTAACTATTAGAAGATGTTTGTCTGTGCTATCCAGTGTGCTCTGTTTGCATCATCTTGCACTAGATGAGCACAGCAAAGAAGTCAACATATATATGTCAAAGTCATGTTGGGGGAATTAGAAATGGCATTGTTTAAAGAAAACAAAGAAGAAGTCTAGTAAAGTGCAGTCTCAATTCTATTAAACCTAATGCAACACTATCACTTTGCCCATTCAGGAATTGTAGTGTGTTTGTAAATGCCCCCAGGCCAAAATATAGTCATCTTACTGGCACTCCTTCTCCACTGTTACCTCTTTCCATGTATGGGAGAGTATGTGAACTCCTATCATGTGACAATGCTCAGGTTTAGCAGCCAAAAACAAGGCATGAGCACTGTCACAAGATAGAGGGGTGATGTCACCCAAAGCCACACCTTGAATTTCAGTGTCAGCTGTGGCAGAGGCAAGAACCACATGGAAGTGCTGGTAAGATCATTATAACTTGGACGAAGTGGGAAATGTGGCCTTTACAAACACATTGGGGTAGATTTACTAAAACTGGTGCACGATTTGGCAATAAAAGCTGGAAGCTGATGGATTTCTATGCAGAGTTGCACCAGATTTTGAACTCTCCAGTTTTAGTAAACAACTCCCACTGTCACTCAACCACTTTCGGTCCACCCATCCACAATGTACTGTGGACAGGCGGCACCAGCAGGACCAGCAACATACCTGTATGTGGCTGTTTACTTCCAGCTTTGGAGCATGCATGCGCGCACCCCCCCCCCCCCCCCCCCCGCTGACTCCCACTGTCATTCGCTGTAGGAGATGCAAGTCAATGGAACGCGGCCAGTGATTTTAGCTGGGACTCTGCAGATCTCCTACAGTGAATGGAGCAGCAGAGCTGTGCCTGTATTTGTATGTACAGGCACAGGATCTATCTGGATCTTATCTCCCTGGAAACATTTTGTTCCAGGGAGAGGAGATATAGACACCGCATGTGAGTAAAAGCAGCACACACACCTTAGCTTTGACATTTAACCCCTTGATTGCCACATTTAACCCTTTGATTGCCCCCTGCTAGTGCCATTAGTACAGTCTCAGTGTACAGTATTTTTCACAGATCACTGTATTACTGCCACTAGCAACGTCAGATAGCATCAGGGTCAGTTAGCGTCCCTCCCAGCCAGGGTCAGCTAGCGTTAGATTGCCCGCACACTATCGCACTCTTGATATAGATCACTGATCACCAACATTATGCATAGTATAGTGTTTGTACGGATCAATATATTGATCACAAACAAAACTATTTCAGTGCCCCTTAGTATTAGAGTCCCCAAAAACACAGTGTTAGCTGGATGAGCCCCGTTTGCCACCAGCACTTGCGTTTAGCCCCACACAGCATCTTTGTTCCACAAGCAGTACCACTTATTTGTGGACAATTTCTACACAAGCCTGCCACTATTTAGACATCTGTACAATCTTGGAATTGGCTCATGTGGCACCGTGTGACCTAATCCCTGGTGCTTCCCCCAATAGCTTGTAAACACCCAACTTAGAAAGGGGGAGAAAGCCTTCTTGAGAAATGATGAATTGCTTGCAATGAAGTGGAAGGAAAAATGGGATATTTTCGTCCTGCCTTCCTTTCACGCAGACATCGCCATCCACATTTACACGGTATCTGGCGTTGTTGAGAATCTGTGCCAACGACTATAACCTTAACATGGGAGGGGTTGACTTCAATGACCAAATGATGAATCCATAATTCGTTTCCCATAAAGTTCAACCTGCTTTTTTTCTCCCTCTTGTCCTGGCCAACCTGGTCTCTGCCTCAAGGACTGCCACACACTAGTGGAGTATTAGTATAGGGTACAGCACGGCACAATCTAGGGCATGTTCACCATTTTTGCACCGGGTCTCGAAAGATGCTATATAGTCAGAAAAATGTCTATCGCATTTTGATAGACCCAAAAACCAGAGGCTGTTTTTAAAAGTTTTTCTAAAAAGTAAAAAAAAAAACGCCATAAAAAGTAAAATACATAAATACATTTTTTTTAAATAGTTGTCGTTATATTGAGTTAATTTTCTATTGTTGCTTTGTTTTATTGTCAACCATTGCTCCTTTGCAGAAATACCATTCAGTTATTGTTTTATTAAGTTAACGTTCTATTGTTACTGTGTTTTGTTGTTAACCATTGTTTGCTTTGCAGGAACACCATTCACCTGTAGCACTGTTCTGTTTATTCTGAAAGCACTCAGAATAAACAGATCAGATTATATGTCAGTGCACGCAGTGCTGCTGGATGAGATTTTTCATCCATAGTTAAAAAAAAAAAAAAAAAAAAGAACATATATGCCCAGGCATGGGGGCCTGGGGTGGTCAGGGGGTGGATCGTCCCAATGCTTTTTCAATATTTCAGAGACTTTTTGCAGCGATTTCTTCATCCACATCGATCGATGTAAATTGAGGAATCTGTTAGGCTCTCTTTTTTTTTTTCGCTCAGCCCACAGGTTGCATGAAAAAAAGAGAACATTACATATATTCCCAACAAAGACCAGTGATGTACTGGTATGTTACTGGACTTTGAGTGGTTATGCCAGGATGATTCCTGCAGCTACACGCATCATCCTGGTATAGTTTTTTTCAGCCAAAGGTCGGCTTTTATGTAAATGCAATCCTAGTGGATAATTAGCCACTGGATTGCATTTCAAGCAGCGGGAGGGGATCACCCCCCGCTTTCAGCCACCTTCCAGGGCTTTCTCGGGCTCTCTCATCCACCAGGGAACCCAGGAATGCAGCAGGTGGTTCTGCCTACTGCCCATAGATCTGATCTTAGACTGGAATGGTTCCAATCATCTCTATGGTCTAAGAAACCGGAAACTTTGAGCATTTTATCACTTCAGTTTTGCCGGATATAAACAGTGCCATTTTTAAAACAGGAAAGCATCTGATCACACTAATCTTGGTGTCATCAGATGCTTTAAGGGCAGAGGAGAGATCTACAGTCTAACAGACCCTAGATTTCTCAGAAAAGAATACCTGTTACTGCCTATTGCTATCATATTCCCAGTGATAACAAAAAAAGTGATTAAAATAAAAATAAGTAAAAGGGACAGTGTAAAAATAAAAAAGCAAAATAAATCATAAAAAAGCAAAAAAGAAACCAATGCACCCCTGTTGCCCCACACGTGTGCACAAAGGCATAAGAAAGCTTTGGACCCGTGTTAATATGTAAACAGTAGTTGCACCATGCATGTGATGTGTCGCCACGAGTGTCAGATCGGGAGCAGTAATTCTAGTACTAGACTTCCTGTGTAGATATAAAGTGGTCACCTGTAAAGGCTTTTAAAGAGTTGCCTATGGATATTAAAATGTACGTAGTTTGTCGCCATTGCACGGTGCATGTAGCATAGCACCACTTATATATCACCTAACAATTGGCCAATAAATTGTGTTTTTGTGCATTAAAATAAAAAAAGTGTATTTTTTTCCCAAAAATTTGCGTTTCAAAAATGGCTACAGAAGTACTGTATGACATAAACAATTGCAACACCCACCATTTTATTCTCTAGTGCCTCTGCTTTAAAAATATATAAATGTGTAGGGTTTAAAAGTAATTTTCTAGCAAAAAAATACAGATTTTTATCATGTGAACAAAGAGTGTCAGAAAAAGCCTCGTCTTCAAGTGATTGGAAGAGTGGGTGATGTTTTCTAATGTTGGGCGTAAAATGCCAGGATAGCACAAAACCCTCCCAAATAACCCTTTTTTGGAAAAGAGAAACCCCAAACTATTTGCTGAGAGGCATGTTAAGTCAATGGAAGATTTTTTTTTTACCAAAAGTTTTTGAAATATGACAAAGTTGTCACTTACTGTAAATGATATATTGCTCACACATGCCATGGATATATGTGGAATTACACTCCAAAACACATTCTGGAACTTCTCCCGAGTATGCGGATACCACATGTGAGATACTTTTTGGCAGTCTAGCCAAGTACAGGACCCCAAAATCCGATAAGCACCTTCAGGCTTTTAAAGGGCTTTATTTCCTCATTACACTTTCTGACTACCTATCACAGTTTCAGAGGCCCTGAAATGCCAAAATAGTACAAATCCCCCCAACTCCCCCCCCCCCCCCCAAAATGACCCCTTTTTGGCAAGTAGACACCCCAAGGAATTTGATAAGAAGCCTGGTGAGTATTTTGCAGATCTAATTTGCTGCCGCAAGTTTTTGGAAAATGAAGAAATTAAACGAAAATTTATTTTTTTCTTTATTTTTTTTGTTTCAAAACCTTGTGACACAAAATGAGATTGCAAAAACCCTCACCATGCCTCTTAATAAATTCTTTGGAATGTCTACTTTACAAAAAGGGGTCATTTGAGGGGTTCCTATCATGGTATTTCAGGGCCGCTGAAACTGTGATAGGTAGTGAGGAAGTGAAATGAGGAAGTTACGTCAGGCTTTCAAAGGGTTATTGGATTTTGGGTTTCTGTAAGCGGCTAGGCTGCCAAAAAGCCACACACATGTGGTATCCCCATACTCAGGAGAAGTAGCAGAATGTATTTTGGGGTGTAATTACACATACTTTATACCCATAGCATTTGTGAGCAATATATCATTTAAATGACAACTTTGTGTAAAAAGCAAATAGTTTGGATTATCTGCTTTCCAAAAAGGGGTCATTTGGGGGGTGTTTGTACTGCCCTGGCATTTTAGTACCTCAAGAAATGAGATAGGCAGTCAAGAAGTAAAAGCTGCGTAAATTCCAATATACAGTTGTGTTCA